CAAAGTTGAAGATGATTCTTGGTCTGATTTTCAACAAAATGATTCTTCAACACATATTGGTCGTAGATTTTCTTCTCCTCCAGGTCCATCCACAACCAGTGCGAATACTTCACGAAGATCTCGTCGTACTTTTTCTTTATTACCATCTTCAAGCACTAGAACGCTTTCTATTGCTAATTATTTACATACAAAACATGCTCAAAGTAAATGTATTGAAAATGATATTAAATCATTAAACATTGAAATTCCTTTAATTATTACTACAAAATCTGATACTTCAAGGCAACAAGTCCCTTCATATTGTTCTGTTGATGAACCACCTGCATATATTTATGCTTCTATGATACCCCCTCCACCCGAATATTGCTCTGATACATATGATGTTGATCTTGAATGATTTTATCTTTTATAATAATAATTAAATATATATATATGTATTTTTAATTTAAAAATATTACCTTTATTGGTATCGTTATAATTTATTATATCTCATTTATCTTTAAAAGGAAGAATTGTAAAGGTTGTGTTCCATCGATTATCAATTCCTTTTTTTTTTTTTTTTTTTTTTTTTTTTTTTTTTGTAATAAATATAAAATCTACTCGACATGCTCTTTCTGGATAAATAAAATATCAAAGATCAAATGTATCATCCAACCAGAAAATTTCAAATATATCAAATCTTTGCGGCAAATACTAACCTTGGAAAAACAATATTTTCTACAGGATTATGTCGTGCATCTGCTTTAAAACAACGAAAAAAAATTAATTGGAATATTATTAACAATAATAATATTAATATTAAAAATAATAATAATAATAATAATAATAACGATAATAAAATTAATCAACATAAAACTTATTACCTTAAACCAATACAAACAGGATATTCAGAATCTAGTGATGAGAATTTTTTATCTAATTTTTTAAATTCGGATATGAATTTTAAACTTTCTACTTTATTTAAATATGAAAAACCATTAAGTCCACATCTTGCTATCGATAAAGATTTGGTAATTTGATTTTTTTTTTTTTTTTAAAAAAAAAAAAAGAGGGGGATAAAAATTTTTTTCATTGTTTATATATTTAAAATCCCTCTTCATCGGTTTTTTTTTAGATACCTAAAGATGACGATGTTTTACTGGCTACCAAAAATCATATAATTGAATGTGCGATCGATTCTAGTCTCGATGGAGGGACTTTATTTTTAGAAACAGCAGGGGGTAATCTTCGTGCTTGATTTATCATTTAAAACATGGATAAATGTATTTTTATTAATAATCTAAAAAAAAAAAAAAAAATCAAACGATAAGGAGTGGCTAGTCCAGTTATGTCTGGTAAATTTTTTTCATGAAATCTTTGATTCGAAAAAAAAAAAAAAGATAGTATATAGAGTATAATTTATATAAATTATTATAATAATTATTTTTATTAAATTTATATTTAGGAACTATTCAAAGTGAATTTTATAGACCTCTTCGTCTTCCAACAATCTTAATTGGTGATAGTAATTTAGGAGGAATATCAACAACAATATCATCTTTCGAAACTTTACGTATACGAGGATATGATGTAATAATAATATTATTATTTGAAAATTCACAATATAAAAATCATAATTTTCTTCAAAATTATTTTCAAAAAAATTTTTTAAAAAAAAATGAAAATATTTTGATAAAAACTATTCCTATTCCACCTAAAAAATCTTTAAATAAAAATATTGATATAGATAATTTAAAGAAATATTTTAATAATCTTGAGGAAAAATTTGATGATATATTTGAAAATTTAATTAATTGGAATGAATCAAGATTTAATAGATTAAGTGAAATGTCTGAACGTGGCAAAGAAATTGTTTGGTGGCCTTTTACTCAACATAATAAGATTGATAAAGTTAACGTTATTGATTCTGCATATAATGATTTTATGGTCATTTATGATCAAAACGATCGAAATTATCAAAATATTCAAAGTTATCAAAGTAATCAAGGTAATCAAGATAATCAAAGTTATCAAGGTGATCAAAGTGAATTAACAAAAAAATCGAAAAATGATGGAATTATGAAAGAAATGTTTGATGGTTCATCAAGTTGGTGGACACAAGGTAAGTAAAATTAAAAATTTATTTAAAAATTTATTTAATAATAATTTTTTTTCATATAGTTTTTTATAATAATTTATTAATCGGTAGGTCTAGGACATGGTTCATCAAAATTATCATTATCTGCATCATACGCGGCTGGAAGATATGGGCATGTTCTCTTCCCTGAATGCATTCATGAACCGTCCCTCTCACTTTCTCAAACCTTATTAAATACAGTAGGAAATAATTGGGCAACACGTGTATTTTTTTCAGATAATGGTAGTACTGCTGTGGAAGTCGCATTAAAAATGGCTTTACAATCTACATGTAAAAGATATTTTAATGGACAAAATGAAGATTTTCAAAACCTAAAAATTTTAGGTCTGTACGGATCTTATCATGGTGATACTATTGGTGCTATGGATGCTTGTAGTCCAAATCCTTTTAATAAATTAGTATCTTGGTAAATTCTTAAAAATCGTTAATATATTTTATTTAGAAAAGTATATATATATATATATATAACTTTTTTTTTTTTGTTTTGTTTATATAGGTATGAACCAAAAGGAAAATGGTTTGATCCACCACGAATATTGTTAAAAAATAATGTTTACAATTTACAAATACCTTTTTCAAATGAAACAATGAATTACCCATCATTAAAATCAATATTCTCATCAGAACGATCCATTTCTGATCCAATTTCTCAAATTTATAAAAAACATATTAAAGAAACCATTACCCGTTACATTAAAGAAGGAGATAAATTTGGAGCTTTAATATTGGAACCAATTGTAATGGGAGCAGGTGGTATGATATTTGTTGATCCATTATTTCAACGATTACTTGTAGAATTTGTTAGAGAATGGGATGGATGGATTGAACATTGGGGAGATAATAAAACAAATGAAAAAAAAGTTGGTGATTGGGAAGGATTACCCGTTATTTTT